TAAGCTTCATCTAGCAGTATTCATGGGATGTTCTAAAAGTCTAGAACTCCCATGTAGTTTTAACCAACAACATCCACTTGATGTTCTAAAAGTGTAGTCTAAATCCTATAAGCTTTATTTAACAATATTCACGTGATGTTCTAAAATTCTAATTCTAGAACTCCCTTGTAGTTTTAACCAAAAAAATCCACGTAATGTTCTAAAATTTTAATCTAAATCCTATAAGTTTCATCTAACAATATTCACGGTATGTTCTAAAAATCTAGAATTCTAACAATAGTTATGTGATGTTCTACAAGTCTAGGCTTCTAACAATATTCATATTACATTCTACAAGTGTAGGCTTCTAACAATTGTCTTGTGATGTTCTATAAGTCTAGACTTCTAATAATAGTTACGTGAAGATCTACACGATTGAAACTACATTTTTTCCTCGTAGGGGAGGTAGCTGTGTATTACCACCAGAAATATACATATGTGCAAATTGGAGTTTTGTGAATATGGTATCATTGATATCTTGCTATTATTGTGTAAAAGTCTTGACTTAGACTAAAAATAATATTTCAGATTTTATTTTAAAAGATGTGTTTTAATTTTTTGTATGTAATAAAAACAATGAGTAATTTTAACGTAATGAACTGTGAGGTTATGTTAGTAATTTTAATATAATGAACTGTGAGGTTATGGTAGTAATTTTAATATAATGAACTGTGAGTTTATGGTAGTAATTTTATTATTAAGGACTGGAAGGTTATGGTAGTAATTTTAATATAATGAACTGTGAGGTTATGGTAGTAATTTTATTATTAAGGACTGGAAGGTTATGGTAGTAATTTTAATATAATGAACTGTGAGGTTATGGTAGTAATTTTAATATAATGAACTGTGAGGTTATGGTAGTAATTTTAATATAATGAACTGTGAGGTTATGTTAGTAATTTTAATATAATGAACTGTGAGGTTGTGTTAGTAATTTTAATATAATGAACTGTGAGGTTATGGTAGTAATTTTAATATAATGAACTGTGAGGTTATGATAGTAATTTTATTATTAAGAACTTTTTACTTTAAACTTTATCGAAAACAACAAATAAATGTTTAGGTAATCAAACCTTACCATTACAAAATGCTCTGCCCCCAGTGGCTTAAAACTGGTTCTGATATTCGTGGTGGGCACAGCACAGATAGCCCATTGTGTAGCTTTGTGCTTAAAAACAAACAAGTGGTTTAAACACAAATTAGCTGATAATGATATGATATTGAAAACTTTAACACGTAGTAGTTCCTTTTACATTATTTACATGCAACAATTAGTGTAAGTTTTTACTGAACTTGTACTTGTACTTGCCTCATGTATAATAATTACCTACTCGATCTGCTCGGATTACATCTCCATTCATAACAAAGTCATATGGGTATCCTTAATCTTAACTAAAAAACTTAACACGTAATTTTCTTACTAAGAAAAGAACTCCTTCAAATATTATCCAATTATGTTCCAACTTCCTTCTAACACTTGTTATTCCTTACCTTGGAAAACAAACCCTTATGTTAAAATCCAAATCAATAAACTACTCGGGTCTTTCTATCCCTAGGTTAAACATGTCCTTCCACCCCCAGATTAAACAGGTCCTTCTAGTGTTGTAAATCCGAAGACTTACCGCTATCCCACTGAGAAATCGTTCTTTAAAGATGTTTACAATTGTTGCCGTGAGTCTACTATTCATTATCAGACTTCCTTTTCCACCAAATGTATCAATTAACTTATTATTTTTACTGACATTTTCGTGCTAGGTGTGTAATAATTATCCAAGTAATTTGTTTTTACTGAACTTTTACCCTCCTGTTGTGTATTGGTTTTACTGATCTTTTATCTGTCTGTTATGTAATAATTACTTTAAACTTTTCACTGAACTTTTACCCTCTTGTTGTGTGTTAATTATGTTTGCCGAGCCTTTTCTTGCGTGTTATGTAGTAATTTCTGTAGTATGTTTCCGAACTTTTATGTGCCTGTTGTTTAATAATCACTAGAATATTTCTAACGTTTATTTAGCTGTTGTATGATATTTATCCTTCTAATTTGTTATGTAACACTAGAGCCATTTTATGTAAGCGCAACACAAATATCATGTAACAGAGATACAACACGAGTATCATCTTGTGTAGATGTAACACTAACGTTATGTGATTGAGATAGAACACTAGCGCTGCCTGACATAGACATAACACTAGTGCTGCCTGACATAGATTTAACACTAGTGCTGCCTGTCACAGACATAACACTCGCACTGCCTGACGTAGATATAAATCTAGCGTCTCCTGACAAAAACTTAACACTAGTGCTGCCTGACATAGACTTAACACTCGTGCTGCCTGACGTAGACATAACACTCACGCTGCCTGTCTTAGATATAACATTAGTGCTGCCTGACGTAGACATAACACTCGCGCTGCCTGAAGTAGATATAACATACGCTGTGATAGTCACATAATAATATTAGAACAGATCCATGATATAATACATTAATCCATACCCTATTTGATTTTGAAACTTAATATAAAAATACTTTAATTTTAAACTTCTTTTTGTAAGACAGACTACTTGAGTAATTCGAAGCAACGTTGTTAGTTTTTATTATCAACTTAGAGATCTGTCTTCCATTTTTATAGATAAAGAAACTAAAGAAACCCTTTAAATAAAACATCGATTTTCATACAATTAACAACAATTCTCTTTTTTTATCTTCAACAAGAAAATTGTTCCAGTTGAGACTAGCAAGTTGCTTTTTTTACAGGCTAAATATTTTCTTTCTTCGCAGGTAGTGTTTAATATTCATTGCTTTTATTCCTCTGCTTCGTTAACTCCGTTCGCTAGTTTAATAGTAGCTAAACTAGCGCTCAGGAGACAACGTTAAGTCACCAAGCACGGCTAACTTAAGCTCAAGACCGTTGTATTGCTACATAATTAGAGTAAGGGCTGCACAACATAATCAAGACAGAATTTAATTAGCAAATCGGTATTCTGCAGGTTTGAGAAGTCCGCAAATCCTTACGACAGCTGACTGGATTCACAAGGGAAAAACTGAACTTTAGCTGTCGATTTAGATGAACGAACTTAAATCTGAGTGTATAGGAAAGCCGATTGTTTCTACTCTGTTATCTTGTATTATAAAATCCGATATTTTTAAAATTATATACAAAAACTCCTTCTGTCGTAGTTTTAGTCAATTATTTAACGAACCTTAGAATATATAAATCCAGCCTTTGATTCTTAATATGAATATATATGTAGACAGTCAATTTGTATCACAACTATAGTTTCATTGCAGGGTGCATTGTCCAGTTCACATACGTATCTTTGTAAAGCTTAAAAACAAAAAGGTGATTTCAGATTAGGCCTCTATATCACAAAGAAACACTGGCAGTAACACTAAACATAGCTTTAGAGTGATATACAGTAACACTAAACATATTGATGAGTAAGTTCAGCTTTACAGTGCTATCCAGTAACACTAAACATATTGTTGAGTAAGAAAGTTTCAAAAGGTTATCTTCAACTTATCGTCAGAAAGTTTCAAAAGGTTATCTTAGACTTATCGTCAGAAAGTTTCAAAAGGTTATCTTAGACTTATCGTCAGAAAGTTTCAAAAGGTTATATTAAACTTATCGTCAGAAAGTTTCAAAAGGTTATCTTAGACTTATCGTCAGAAAGTTTCAAAAAGGTTATCTTAAACTTATCGTCATAAAGTTTCAAAAGGTTATATTGTTCTGCCCTTGTCGTGTACAGCATATCATCTTTAGTGTAACTTTCAACGTGCTATTATTGTATATGATGTCATCTTCATCAGAGTAAGTTTAGACGTACTATTATTGTGTATCATCTTCAGCGTAACTTTAGACATATTATTGTTCTCTTTATCATAAAGTTTCAAAGCAAACATATACAAACTATTATTCCCTATACCACATCATCTTTATTGTAACTTCTATAATACACCCACTGATGATGATGACGGCATACAAGACAATAGTACATTTAAACTTACTCTGATGATGATGGCATACAGAATAATAGTACATCTAAACTTACTCTGATGATGATGGTGATACCATACACAACAATAATACGGCTAAATTTACTCTGATGATGATGATGATATCACACACAACAATAGTACACATATGATCTACAGCGTAACTTTAGATTATTGTTTTGTATATCGTATAAACTTCAATGTTTCAGTGTTTATACAATATATTGTTCGTTGTAATTTATCATTTTCAGTGTGATTTTACACTATACATGTTTTTAACTTTATATCATAACACTTCCAGTGTAATTTATACAATTTCACACTATACATGTTTTTAACTTTATATCATAACACTTCCAGTGTAATTTATACAATTTTATACTATACATGTTTTTAACTTTATATCATAACACTTCCAGTGTAATTTATACATCATATTGTTCATTGTAACGTATCATTCTCAGTGTAATTTTTACATATTTTTTCCTATATCATATCGTCTTCAGTGTAATATTTTAATTTTCATTGTAATTTTATGCTTCATATTTTTTCCTCTGTCGTAAATTGACATATTTTTTCTTATTTTTCTCTCTATCGTAATTTTTGCAGAGTAATTTTACAAAGTATTAGCCTGTCTTTTTAGCCTAATTTTTTTCGTTTTACATACAACAAACATTTTGTCGTGTACCAGACAACTATGCTAATAGTGGAAATAATAAGTGCTACTCTTGAAAGAAAAAATTAAAAGTTTCCAAACTTTTAAAGAGAATGTAACATAATTATATTTGTTATGATACAACAGTATTAGGCTTAATTTATTTTTAAACATTACTATTCACTCAGCGGTTTTTCAGAGAATAAGTGTGTATAATAATATTTCAACCACACCATGTACCTTTTATCCATTTTGACGACACGTTTCGCATAAAATCAGATCTTATCGAAACTAAATGCCTAAGAAATAGTACGTTAAGTCATTTTTCTTTACAGATAACAAAAAATACTCTTACTCAGAGTCATTAAATATAGTTTATTATTAATGATAATAAGTGCATGGAAAGATTATATGTTTTACGAATTGAAGTTATACATACAGAAGCTTCGATCACAGATCATCAATATGATTACATCAATTGGTTTTAGGGTAGAGAAAGAGAGAGGATTAACAACATATTAAAATATCACCAGCCCTACTAAACAGTTATAGTCTGTTTTCTTGCCCAAAGTGACTAGGATGTATTTTCTTTTTTCACTTTGCCACTATTCTAAGTCATCCCACACAGACATATAAATATCTTACGTCATTGTATGTGTGTTTGTTAGAACATTCTAATATGTCACTTTTACTTATAAAACTTGTTATTTTATAAGCTATTCGCTCAATTGTTAAATTGGTAGAGTTTGGCTTGATTCTCAATTATTTCATTTTGGATCGTGTTTCCACCTTCGCCCACAAGGGGAAGCTTAGCGACATCTTTTCGAACTGTTAACACAAATCATCAGTAATTTACTTCAGATAGTATAAGGAGCTTCATGAAACTGCCGTAGTTTGGAGACAGCGACGATTCGAATTGTTAGCATAGATCATCAGTAGTTCACTTTGGATAGTACAAAGATCCTCGTTCACCAGGAGCAGTTTGGAGTTTCTGGAGAGAATATAAATAGAAGGCACATTAAGAATAACACGACTGTTACATAACAATTAAGAACATTTTATTATGCAGATAAATTAGTCTGTTTTTCTAATAAAGTTTACTGTGTTGTCTTTGGACTGTTCTAGCTTTCTGAACTCACCTATTGCTACATGTAAGAATTAAATAACAGAACTTATATCATCATCTGATGTGGATTTGATTATCACTACACTTTGTTATAGAAAACACATTCACCAGAATTAAATAATAGAACTGATATCATGATCAGATGAGGATTTTATTATCACTACACTTTGTATAGGAAACACAGTCACCAGAATTAAATAATAGAACTGATATCATGATCAGATGAGGATTTTATTATCACTACACTTTGTATAGGAAACACAGTCACCAGAATTAAATAATAGAACTGATATCATGATCAGATGAGGATTTTATTATCACTACACTTTGTATAGGAAACACCAGAATTAAATAATAGAACTGATACCGTCATCTGATGCGGATTTTATTATCACTACACTTTGTTATAGGAAACACATTCACCAGAATTAAATAATAGAACTGATATCATGATCAGATGTGGATTTTATTATCACTACACTTTGTTATAGGAAACACAGTCACCAGAATTAAATAATAGAACTGATATCATGATCAGATGAGGATTTTATTATCACTACACTTTGTTATAGGAAACACAGTCACCAGAATTAAATAATAGAACTGATATCGTCATCTGATGTGGATTCTATTATCACTACACTATGTTATAGGAAACACAGTCACCAGAATCAACTAATAGAAGTGATATCGTCAGCTGCCGAAGAGGCCAGTTGTGGCCTAATGGTAAATGTTATGTATCCTATTGCCGTACAATTGCACTCGGTACTTTGGAGCGTTATTAGGGTGACAATCACATCCCACTATTCGATTAAAGTAGCCCAAGAGTTGGCGATGGGTGCCATTGACTAACTACCTTCTATCTAATAGATCAATTCAAAACCAGAGACGTCTAGAGCAGATAGCCCTTGTACAGCTGTTCTCAAGTGCTCGCTTTCGAAGACAATATTATCAGCCGTCACCAGTGTATGAAAGTCATTATTAATGAATGTTTACTAGTACAAGCCTTCATTCTGGAATCTCTGTTGATACAGCTATGTTTCCTTTCCTTCTTGGCGATTAAGTGACAAAAGCTGATCGTAAATTACAGTTTTTTATATTAATATTTATTTATATAAAGTTTATATCCACAATAACGAACCAATTTCAAATTTATAAGGATACAACTTTTGACAGTTTCGCGTGTCTTCTTCAGTCCAACGTTTGTTTGTGAAAGAAACACACACACACTGCTTAGTTTATAATAACATTTATAAGTATGAATATTTCTTTACTTCTTTGACTAAACACATTGTATAAGTATGAATAATTTTTTAGTCCTTATGATATACTTTGCAGCTCACGCCCTATCATTACTTGGACGGAAAATAAGAAAACCCGGTTTATCACACCAACGCTAAGCCTTGTTTTACACGTTTCCTTAACAGAGAGACGGGTCTCGAGAGTCTAATTAAAATTTCATCACTTTCAAAACATCGATATTCATCGTGGGAATTTTAGGTGTGCCAAGGATGACGATGGATCGCTATGGCAACGTTCGACAAGTAGTCCAGAAGACATTCATACAACTTATGTTGTATCAGTTGCAGTTTTGATTGGCATGCAACTGTAGGTGTGGGGGATTACCTGCATTGTGCGGAGTTTGGTGATGTTTAGATAGGGCTTAGGAAGACTGCTTTGCTAAAGATTCGTAAGAACTGACAAGAGAACAAGTACATTGTTCTAAGATAAGAGATTGTTGGTTAAAACAATGGTACGAAATATCAAAATAGTTATCTTTCGTAACAGACAAAGATACACTTTTAATGATATTTAAATATTTTATCAAACTACATCAATTAATAATTATAATAATAATTAATCAACGGAGGGGCAACTCCCATGGTACAAGGACTTAATGTATATGAAAAAATTGTTTTCTTTAAAAAAACATTAAAGCATTATATATTTATATAACTATTAATATATTTTCTGTTGTTTTTATTATGATTTAACGAAACGAGATCTCTCCTTCCTTTCAAGACTGGCCGCTGGTCAGACTTTAGCAAGGTTACCCACGTGCGCTATAATAGATTGAAACAAGTTGCACACGGCATTGTTTTTCAGTTTTTCTAAGTACAATTTGTTTTAACTAAAATGTATAAAATTGACGATTTCGCTATTTTTCATACAATTTTAAATAAGGATATTAAGTTTATTTGTTTGTTTGTTCTTAAGCACAGAGCTACACAATGGGCTATCTGTGCTCTGCCCACCACGGGTATCGAAACCCGGTTTATAGCGTTGTAAGTCCGCAGACGTACCGCTATGCCACTAGGGGGCAAACTATCAGAGACCCGTAACATAGCTGATGTCAATATAGTATCTTTATTGCTGTAGGTTTTCTTTAAGTACATGATTTCTAGAATAATACAAAATAATTCTAATCGCAGACACCGAATTCTATAAGTCCACTTGTCTTAGGCCTAACATTAGTTAAGCCTTTATTAAGTACGGCCTATATTCAATAAAGAGATAAATTAACACTGTAACTTGTGTACGTTTTTTTTTTTTTGCTTTAGTTTAGAGAAATTAGCTTATAATTTTATTCTACGACTTAACGTTAGATTCTTTTTAAAAACGCTGACAAGCTATAATATGTTGCTGTACAAAATGTTAATGAAAGTACCATAGTCAACATTTGCTAGGGATCACGTTTTATTTTGAGTATATGTCAAACATATACCACAATGGTATGTGCAGATTGATCATTTTAGGAAGAAAAGCACCTGGATAAGTCATTTTTTACATTTTGATGCACCCTGTTTTATTGGATATTCATTTAAAAATCTCGTTCCCTTTTATTCACCTATGTATGAGTAGATTAAATCCAAAATTCATGTATTTATCGTGGTTAAATTCTTCTGTAGACTTGTATTTGTATGATTAAACTTTTTCCGAACTGTTGTTTAATAACAGCTCATAGCAGAATTATATTAATTGCACTAAAGTAATTAGGAACGAATGTGAGAAACGCTTGGAGTAAATAATGGTAAATTAAGACTGTTTTTTTATAACCTAGAGACATCAAGTGAAGGCCTACTTGGACATTCAGAAGAGCTAGAATTAAATGTATTTATTACTTCCTGCTCTGTTAGCTCTGAGAGTAAGGAGAACGTGAGCCATGGTAACCACATACGGCTTGCCCGTTGGTTTATCGTGTAATTAATTACTACCCTATTGATAATTATAATCAACTCTACCATGACAACTCCTTGGAATCTACAGATGGAGTTAAACCATCGATGTTAATTACAGTTTCTCTCTCATGAAATTAAAATAACTTCTGGTTTTCAATAGAATACTCACGAAACGAAAGTAGATGTTTTACTGGTTCACAGACGGAAAGGTTACTTCCAGTTTCACAAGTAATTATTATTATTTTATTTATATATACTTAGATTTATATACAGTTGTATGCTGGTTAGCAGGTGTAAAAGTTCACATGTGGAAAGGTTACTTCCAGTTTCACAAGTAATTATTATTATTTTATTGATATATATATATATACTTAGATTTATATACAGTTGTATGCTGGTTAGCAGGTGTAAAAGTTCACAGGTTGAAAGGTTGCTTCCAGTTTCATATGTAATTACCAATATTCTTATTTTATTGATATATACTGATACTTATATGCAGTTACATGCTGGTTCACAGGTGTAAAAGTTGCTCCCAGTTTCACAAGTAATTACCAATATTCTTACTTTATTGATATATACTGACATATATATACATACAGAAGTGGCAAGGGACCAACTATTTCGTGACAAGTATAGTGTAATCAAGTGATAGGTATAGTTTAATATGACATTTACACCAGTTATCTCGTAACAGTATAATCGAATCTGACTAGTACCTTAGTTATCGTATCACAGATATAGTAAAACTTGACTAGTACAGGGTTATCACACGGCCTAGTAGTTGTGGTTTCTAAGGAAGTATAATTAAATAGGCCTTTGTCTACCTGAGGACCTTGCTCTAGCGGTAAAGATGTTTGTGATTAAGAATTAACATGAACATGGGCATGCACTAGTGATGAAGATAGTTCTAAAATTAGGATTAACGTGACTAGATGCAAACTGTCTACCAGATGCAGACTCATTTGTAATCTTATATGTTACCATGGAAACATAAAATGTAAAAGGAATAAGAAAATCGTCAGCACCACTCTTAATTACTTGTCTGCTATGTCTACTTTAGAAATTTGGTTTTCGTATTTGTATTATAATTTGTCTTAAATACAAACAGGAGACTGATGTTTAACCAGACTATTATCTAACTTACTTTTTCGGACGGAACAGGCACTGTGAGTGATAAAAGATTTAGAAGTAGAGGTCAAGATGAAAGGACAACAATAAACAAAGTACCACCAAAATATAGAAAGGATGTAAAGCTCGTGAAGCTAATACTTGCTGACGTTGTCTCAGAATCGTGCTGCATTGCTGCTGGTTTCTCGCCTGAAATAGATAAAACATATCTAAGTTCGTTTGTTTCCGCTAATTTTGTATTACTTGCACTATGGTTTCTAGTTAACGATTCAAGTGAAAGAAATATTTTTATTGAACTATCTTAAAACAGGTCAAATCGTTTAGATATATGTTCATTTAATTATCTTAAAAGAGATCCAATCGTTTTAATATCTTTCAGATTTTTAAATCATACCACTGGAAGGATACTTATAATCAAATAGCCAGTTTGAAAAAAAATTACTTAGAGTTCATTTTTCCTTTCTATATAAAATACAGCTAGTTGCCTTCAACTTACTTCCTTTGTCGCGTGCAGCACGTGCAAGTTCTGACGAGATAGGTACTATCAGGAGAATCAAGGTCATACCAAATGTTCATTAAATTAAGAATCAAATTTTACTT